TAGCGGGGTGCGAGAATGTAGATGATCTGTCTGTCCAAAATTGGATTTGCAATACAATAATACAGAAAGAAAATAATGCAATGATGTCTCACTTTAAATTTTTAATTCTCCTCTGCTGTCCCCTTCGCATCATAACATAGTCGCCACGAAAAAAACTAGCAGGAAAAAGTATGTTCTCAATCCTCTCTCGGCCACTTCAGTTTATTTTAAATTTCTATTTTTTCTCAGGGGGCACGTAAATCTTTGCAAGTCTGTTCAATTTGGCCATTTGTACCGTTAATTGCGCAACAAAAACCAAATCAATTCAACGAGAAAAAGCCGCATTAAATTTCCCTTGGTTCTAGTATGTCTCATTTGACTTTTGTTAGTTGGTGGAAAAAGACCAGATTTACACGCGCCATTGCAGCGAACAAACTCGTCAGTATCTTGTATAAGGAAATGGTATAGACAAAACTTTCTATGGCCTGAACTGACACTTTATTCATTTATCCTACAGAACTTCTTTTTTTTCTCCGGCACTTGCTCCAGATCTGCCGCTTCTTTTGAATACGGTGTTTACTGAGGAGTCATGAAACAGATAAGTTCCTTACCTACGCAATTTTGACCATTTCTAACATAACCAGTCTTGCATTTACAGATAAATGATCCCTCGGTATTATGGCATACAGCATTAGCATCACATCCATGAGTTTTCGTTAAACACTCGTCAATATCTAAAAAGTGAGTATCAATTTGAGACACATTTTTTGTAACTAACCAACAGATTGAAACAGTTGTGATCACAAAGATCTCTTAGAGTTATGGGCGTGTTATCCCTAAAAATCGATTACACAAATTGGTTCTGAAATATGGATCACAAATTATTTTTGTTGTAGATAAAAACTGATACAGTGTATGTACACATTTTTGTCTCACCTTGTTCGCAATGGGGTCCTGTAAATCCAAAAGAACACACGCATCGATATCCCTTACTTGTAAAACCAGATTGACAAATGGCGTTGTTGATGCAGTGAGCACGATCACAAGCATTCTGAAAAATGATAAGAAAAAATCAGTGAACCGAACAGAAAAATAAAATATTGAGTTGACAGGTAATCCCTAAATAGGTAAGTAAACAAGGTTTGAATATGTAAAGAAATAGAAAAGAGGTAAGTTATTTGGTCAAAAAATAAAAATATGATGTGGTATCATCATTCTAAGGAATATTTTTGCTAGACCGAGGGAATCTCTTCATTTGATTTTAATGCAGTGAACAGCGTCATAAAGATAAGTGCAAAAAGGATAAATAAAAAAATAAATGAAAGAGTGAGATAATAAGTAATCGAGTGAAAGTATAAATAACTAAATGTTTTCACTGCGTAAAGAAATAAAATGATGAATAAATAGGTAATCTAGTTTAATTAAACAAATGAAAATATAATAATGCTGTGGTGGCGTCATTGGAAATAATTTTCCAACATAGTAAACACTGTGACAAAGATAAATGCATTAATAAACGTAAAAATTTCCATTTAAGCTTTGGATGAATTAAAATGATTGCTAAAAGATACTTTATCCTCACTCGTGTTCCATGGTACACATAGTTCGCTGCCTTCGTCAGATCCTTGTGGTGTTTCTTTTTTGTCGAGTTGTTCTGTTCGCTGTTTTGTATTCCTACTTCACTTGATCCAAAATAAAAGTTGACACTGACGCAGTTATGGTTCAGGTAGCATCTATATTCACACGTGTCCCTGTCAATCACATTGATGTTTTCTATGGTGTGGTTTACAAGACGTTCTCCCACGAAGAACAAAGTGGATGGAAATACCAATATACGGCATTGATCTAAAATAGGAGAAACTATTGAAACCACAACACTGATCTGAGAAGGATTGTCGATGTTCTGGATATTCATGAAACACTTTTTTTTATATCAACGTTTGAGTATATGTTTCCAGGCTCTTTCAGATCATGAAACAAGAAATTATGTTTAAAATAGGCGATATGATCCATGTTATTCAAACTATGGCAATGTAAAACGTGTTATTATTGTTATTAATATCGTTTTTCTTTTTAATATGAATCGAAGGGCGATACTCCTTCACAGTGTTTTGACAATTCTGTCGTGCCGCCAAACAGTTTGGCTAATATGTTAATTTTCCAAATAATGAATGCTCTAAAAGCCGGTATAAAGTTTAAACGTGGTTATCACCCAAGTTAGAGTTATTCTGACACAAAAATAAAAGAACATGAATTGAGCTAAAGTATAATAGACTAAGGATTGATGAATAAAAAGAATTCAGAATCGAAATAAAGCCCAGTCGTGAGGCCAGTATAAGCTAGGGATGGTCTCTTTTCCCCAAAACTCGGTTAGGAGGCTTGTTGTACAGCTCGTTGCATATGCGTACTATAACTTTGCTTTAACTGGATATAATCTAACTTGAAAAATTACTTGATAAACCGTCAACATAATTTCAGCTAATGTGTTGCGAGGTAAAGTTTGGGTTTTATGCCTTAGGACAAGAAAAGGTAAATAAAAGAAATTAGAACATCGCTTCCAAATTGATCGAAACTTGCGACATACTCCCCTGAGTACACGCATGGGAACGGATTTCTGCACTGAAAAGCGGAAGATTTTCCTCGCTTCAAAACAACAGAGATCTTCAACATTAAAAGATAAACGTAAAGGATATAATAAAAGAAGTAAAATTTACAGGGGTAACAATTGGATGGGAGAGCAAATAAATAGTATAAAATGACAACTCGTAATAAAAGCTACGTAAAGGCAAAGTAACACATCCTCACCATCCAAACAAGATAAAACATTCTTAATCGGCAAGAAAAAAACAAAGTGAAAGGGAAGCTGTGGGGAAATTGTTGCAAATTTGAGGAACTTCAAGTCTTAATTAGCACCAATAAGTTGATTCGCGCGTACTCAATTAATAGTTATGACTGGTTTGAAGGTGAACGTCATACGCATCAGTTTTCAGCCAATAGGACTGTTGTTGATAAGAAGCTATTTAATTATGCCCCATGGGAAAGTTGTTTTACTTGCAGTTCCAACAAAGTAGTCGTTTGTGCGGGTTTACATCCCGCGGAAATTTATCTTCTTTATCTTCCCGCTAATGTGACCCTGTAGGCAGATGCAAGATATATCTTGGTCAGATATAGTGCTAAGGTATTAAAAAAACATTTCATTTTTTTAACGGTTATTACAGGATTGGAAAGATATTTTTCATTTATGTATTATGTTATAAAAGTTTGGCGACTGGCAGTGTAAAATTTGTAATTTCTCACACAACTTCTCGAATTTTGCGGCACACAATGCGGAAGAGGGGAAAAAGAGTGATTCAATAAACCCTCGAGCGAGTAAGCTGGCTGCATTGAAAGAGCGTCAAGTAAATCATTTCACAAATTTTCACATACCGGCCTCTCTGAAAATGAAAATACATGTGCATTAAACGCTGGCTTAACTTACACACAGCTGTCCTCAGGTGGAACAATTTGAACTGATAATGGCCTTAGCTCGCAACTAAATGTCAATGCCACAAATTTCAGTTGCCTTTTATGACTATCTGCCTAAAATGAAACATTTTGTTGTTGCAAATTTGCAATTTGTTGATTTCCTTCACATTTAAGTCTTATATTTTCGCACCATTAATTTACGCTTATTCTTTTCGTTTTTTCACGTATCATTTATGCATCATTACTTCATCGCTTTAGGCGGAGCTAAATTACGCCGCCTTATATAATCCATGTTTCACTTTCCTTCTGGCATTGTGTGTTTTTATTTTTGTCTCTATGAAAACCTCTTCCCAGCGAATGTTTCTTGTTTCGCATATTTCTTCAGCATTTGATAAGTTTGGTCTCATCGTATCATTATATTTATTTCTCCAGTCTTATTTGTAAGTAGAATTTTTTGTTAAGGGGTTTTTTTCCGCTTTTTTACGAACTTACTTCTTCTTCACCTGCACATTAAAAGAGTGGTAAATCGAGTGCTGGACAAATTAAAATTTAATTTTAATTGCCTCTTGACACTCAATTTCAGAAATATTTTAATTGTCTCTTAAATAACCTTATTGCTTGTCATTAATCTACGTCTCAGTCTTCGGAATAGAATAATTAAAGGTATGTTTATTTGGGAGTCAAAAGATTATATGGGATGAAGAATCACTCAAAAACAAGAGAACCTAATTCTCTTAACAGGGTCTGGTAACTCTATGTTTTACAGGTTCTATTTCTCAAGTTCCATTCCGTGCGACTTCCTACTACTCCCGACAAGCTCCTAGATTTGCGCCCACTGAGTTACCAGTCCTCAGGCTCTAAGGGGTAGCAATAATTTCCAAGGTTGAAATTATTACTAGAGGTTTGACTCAATATAACCAGGTTCAAAAGGAAAATATAGGAGGCTCTTTAACACGGCCGCGGGAAGGATGATCATATGAGTCTTTTGTGAAAGAAGGAAGCATTAAGGAGCATTTTATTCCCTCCCTAAAGCTTATTTAATTCAAACAACTCTAAATTTATTCATTAAAGTAAGGACATTGATGACGCAACTGAAAATTAGCAATGCGATTGGTAAAGCCAGAAATGACGCTCTTTCCTCTGAGCGAGGTGGTTCTTAAGTGAAGTTGACAAACTTGCTGATGTCTGTCCAAGTTCGTTAGGTTTCTTTGCAGTTCCATAAAAATATCAACTTCTTGTTCAGTAAACTGTGTCCTTTCGGTTAAATATGTGTTTTTTGGCTGACGTTTCTTACTCTAAATTAATGTCGAGGGAAACATTTGGCTCTAATTTTGCTTAGAAAACACCTCAAATAAACTGGAAACGGCGTCATTTGCATAATTTCGTCTTTCATAGAAATTTAGCAGTAAGATCCTACAGCAGTGTAGCGTAAAATTATTCACTAAAGGAACACTGTTGATTCAAAACAAGTTAGGAATCAGTATTGTTAAGAAATGAGTGATAGTATTATTTTTACAGAAACATTCAATATTGTGAAAGAAATCATCTTCATATCGAAGGTTTTCCCTTAGCTTGGTAAAATAGGCTTTGTGCATCTCGAAAATGGCCTTAGAGAAAACAAGCACGTAAACCCTTAAAATTCGCATGTATACACTGTAGAAGACTCACGAAAACGAATTATTCATTCTGTGGAAGGTTCTAGTTGACTTGTTCACAATTTAGCCTGTATAACTGGCCTTGCCTGGCATTGCTTGCGGAAGGCAAACTCGAAACCCATCATCTGGTGTTTATCACAATAATCATATCAGTCATACTGCATGTTTACGAACTTATCTCTCTTCTAGCTAATAAGTATGTCATTGCTTTCTGAAACGACAAAAAGAAATAAAACAAACAAACAACGAGAAAGTCTGAAATGTTGAGTCATGTAACGATTCTCCACGCAGCAACATTCGGTGTTCTGCACAACTCAATTCGTTTCATATGGCTTGAATCTACCGAACTGGCCGCGATGAGTGTTAAAAAAACAAACAAAATACAAAGAGAAATTCTTGAGATGTTGTATCACGTAACGATTCTCCACGGATTTTTTTTTTTTTTGCACAACTTAATTGGTATGTCTAGGAAAGCTAAGCTGATGGTAAGGGTTGGAGCCATCCGCTCCGCGGCGTTGTAATGTCATAAGAAAAATTTAAAGAAGTTGGAAATATGTCTCAACAGGAATATTGAAATCATGTCGTGTATAGATACGTGTAATATTGTTATGCATCGTGTGCAGGATAAATGAAAAGAAATCATAACAATCTACATCCACTAAATACCGTTAGGAGCTTCCTTCCCGGAACTGAGCAATTTTTGTTTTGACTTGTTAGTGGTGAAGTGATACAGAAAGAAAATTCAGATTGTAAAAGGGGTAAAACTCATATGAGTACATAATCATAAATTACGCGAAAACACTTCTTCAAAGAACTTACCATCTAAACAGGCCAAAGCACTCTTTGAATTAAGAGTCAGCAAGAAAAGGCTGAAGTGGACTAAGAAAATCATAACAACCAGAGGAAGTTTACTTGTTCAGCTGCAATGGACTAAGGAAACCATAACGAAGTGAGGAACTTCACTTGTTCATCAGCAAAAACCTGCCTCTAACATAGTTGACAATGATATACACAGAAAAATTACGTACGTCTGATCGGCTGAAAACGAGAACATGCTTTATTTGCTTATTTCGATCGATGTTCCTCTCGTTAATACAAGTAGTCAGCTAATATTCCAGCCATAAATTCCTTGTTGCGTAGTAACAGCAGCTCAAAATACTTCTTTAATATTTGAAAGAAAGAAACTTCAAGTACGGATAATGGCTACAGGAGTAAATGGATATAGTTTATTGCAGCAGGAGGTTTCGAACGAAAAATAAATTAAAAGTCTGTAACTGATAATATTGGTCATCTGGTGAATTGCAACATAAAACAATTTGTTTTTACCAACCAATGGCTACCTGAAGAGTGTTAGTCCTTTTTGAGAGCGAATAAGGAATTACGGCTTGTTTTTGGTTCCCACCAAGAGCTACACTCCTGGTGGAAACATGGTAACGTGAAAAACAAAAGAATGAACTGGTTAAATGAAAAGCCTTCGTTGCATTGACACCGTGTCAAATATTCCTTTGTAATTTAGTAAATAACTTAATCCTCCACGTAAATCACCGGGCTTAAAATTTATCTTCTAACTTTACTAATTATTATTGGACGAAGTATCATATATTCACATTGCTATATCGCAGTATGTGGGAAGTTTGTCTCCACTGATTTAGTTAAAGGAGTCTCTTATAGCTCAGTGGTAGAGCATTCGAAGAATTAATCGGAAGGTCGAGGAAGCACTCCGGGCTTTTTTCTCGGAATATGTTTTTGTGTTTACTAAATAACATCTCCATTCACTCCAAAAATCCTCTGTTTGAAATTTGCCGTCTTCATTAACATTGCCACTGCACATATCGACATTTCTATCCTCGTAGTATGCAGCGAGTTTATCACCATAGACCGTCCTAGTTAAACGGCCCAGCTTTTCACGTGGCTTAGTGGCGCGTCTGAAGTAACCAACTGGAAGGTCGTAGGTTCTACTCGCTTTGGTAGCACTCGAAGTTCTTATTTTTCTCCAAGTATGCCTGAGTCATTCATTGAACAAGATCACCTGGCTTGATGTTTATCATCTTCATTTACATCATCATTGTACATGAGCATCACATATCGATATTCCTTTCTTCGCAGTATGCGGGAAGTTTGTCACCATGAACTTAATTAAACGGCTTAGCTCGTCATGAGTCTCCTATAGCCGTCTGTGGTGGAGCGGATGACTACTAATTGAAAAGTCTTAGGTTTGGCTGTCATTGAGAGCACTCGGAATATTTTTTTCTCCGCGTATTCTGTATCATTCCCTGAACTACATCTTCCTTCACTTAAATCACCATGTTAACCAATCGGCCACAATACTTCATTGTTTATAACCTTCTTGATCATCATTAGCAATGACGTGGACAATGTCAATGCAATCGAAATTTTTTTTGGTTTTTGTTTCTCTGATTATGCCTGCGTCACTAACTGAATAACATCTCCTTTAAAAAGATAACAGCTGAAAACTCACTCATCCTGAATTGAATTCAAACGAATGATTTCATTTTTGTAGACGTGAGGTCTGGAAATTAGGGAATATCACTTAAGTTTGTTGAAATTCACTCAACAGCAAAGCATTATCTCAAAAAAGGTATTCGTACAGTTGTAGGAGAATCTAGTGAGGATTTTCCGAGCCCTACCCCAAAAACTGTTTCTCAGGATATTCTGATAAATTTCGCATAATAACGGAGATTGCCACGAGACCACCCGCCATTTCAAACTTTAATCCATTAGTTGACAAATGTGTGAAACTGGTTGGACTGTGAAGAAGGAACGATGTTTTTTTAGCGCTTGGAATTTAGTCAGTAGGTGTTTCCGAAAACAATTTCAAGCCATCTTTAATCTCTAAATTGCGGAGCGTTGAAGATAAAAGTTTTTTTTTAATTGATTTACAAATTTATCATTACCTTAATATCGGATGACAGGAAAGAAAAATTAAGACCACATATACAGATCAGTTAGTAAAATTGTTTTTCACAATAATATTTACACGGATTGAAACACGATTTCTTGTTAAAGTTAGTTAATCCTGTCCTCTATATGACTAATCCAGTTGTCTTCAAAGCCGAAATGTCATTGATTTTAAGCCAAACGCCGAAACAAGATACGAAGAAAGAAAAAGAAATCTTGCATGAAAGGACCACTAAAAGTATTCATGGGGTCATTGTCATGGCAATATTTTCCACTTTCTAGTAAACTTTGGTTTGAGGGGCTTTTACCCACTAACTGCTAAGAGTGACCAAGACAGAATTTCTCCTAAAATATCAATACTGTATCTGACAAGTAATGAGAATAACGAAAAAATGCTAATTAGGGGATCATCAGTACATCTAATACCTTATTCTCCCAATTAACATCGTATGAATCGGATGGTAAAAGTAAGGAGAATTACAAATGAGATCCTGGGAGTGAAAGGTATAAGAAGAATATACTGGTAACATCATAGTCCACAAAGAAGAAGTGAAAGTTTCATCAGCGATGTCATCGATGTTTGTCATTGATGCCTCCTCGGTTCCTGGCGCCAAGCTTTTGTCTATGTGTATTAAGTTGGCCAACCTCCTAGAGGCTCGGTTAGTTTCCTCCCAGACCTAAGTGTTCTGTCTAACAGTCTCAGCGCACGGTTTGGAGAATGTCAGAGACAACAGTTAAAATTGAGAAATGTAAGCTTCCAGTAAAGCAATAGCATGAGTTGTTAACGAAGATGAAGAAAACAAACTGACAAGAAAAGCTTATAAGTTTATGAAAATAGCTGTTGATCACTCTACCACTGCATGGACGTTGCAAGTCTGCAGATTTAGTCATTTAATTTTGCTGTTTATTTCATGACACAAGTAGATTTCATTTTATTGCTTCTTCAGTTACAAAAATATGCGATGTCGTATGTTGTTACTCGTTTTAATTGAGGTGATAATAAAACCAAGGCAATAATTTGAGACTGATTGATGTTACTCATCGTACCTGGTCGCTCCAGCTGTCAGCCCCAGTCTCTCTTAGTTATCTTTGGCTGATTTCAACCTGTGAATAGCTTCTGCCTGTTCTTTGGTCTAACGCACAGTTGTAAAGGCATTGACCTGGACTGGTTACCATCATTTTCTATTGTTGCCAATACTGATTGAAATAGGGTCTGGAACAGTGACAGTTATTGTAAGTGTTAATTATTCAACACTATTGTAAAAATAGTTATTACAGAGCAAGTGAATGCAAAAATGAAAAAAGGTGACTTCCATTGTTAAGTCTTCTACTTGATACATATGCATTTCACGTTGAAATGTTGGACCATAGCTTATGTCCATAGAAATGGCTTGGGAATCATGCTTCACCATACTCTTGAACGGCGACGGTCCTTCTTCTTTTGAATGAAATGAACGCCTTGTCTGTCCTACGATATTCTTTGGACGGATCGTTATCTATAAGTTAAGACTATAAGCTATCTTTTTGTAGGTAATTTATGTTTAGCTTACTCATTTTATTTATAAAAGCCACACCAAAGTCAAGGTCTGTCGTGGGCAAAATATGTGCAAGAAGCCTGAAGTGGTCGGCATTTCAATTTTTCAAGTAATATAACTTGACATGTGGTCACCCAAAGGCGTGAAATGCTAAACTTTGAAAGCCAACAGAGTTTGCTTCGTGTTCATGCATGTGTCTTCTTGAACAAATTAACAGGGAATGAAAACTTTATAGATGGGCTTGAAATTTGCTCCAAAGACTCCTTAGTTACCAACTTAAAAAAGTGTAAAAAATGAATTTTCTTCGAAATTGATCTCCCGCAATGGCCTCCGACGTAGTGTGTACTGGAAAAATTTCCATAGGCAACTTTGAAATCAAATTTCAAACAATCCCCATAAAATTTAAAGATCGAGATCGATCGAGAATAGTAAAGCCAAGCCAACGCTAAATACGCTTGCCAATCAGAAAAAAAGGTTTAACGATGCAATAAACCAAAGGCATTTCAAAATAATACAGCCATCCAGGCTCAAGCACACGAAACTTCCATAGGCAACTTTGAAATCAAATTTCAAACAATCCCCATAAAATTTAAAGAAGAACTCCTCGGGACTGAAATTGAGCAGAAGTTTTCTTTGGGCGGTCAGATTTGATACCTGGTCATTAAGCTCAAATAAACATCGTCCATTTAGAATTGTCGATCCTCTTTCGGTTTGCAAATAAAGCAAGCTAAAACTGGAAAGTTTTTGCCGGACAGCTCATTTTCTATCCTTCCCTCTGATATATATTTCATGGTGGTTATGATTCAAATGGCGCAATTTTTTTATGCGAACGACACCCGCGAAGGTCTACCGTATTCTTAAAGAAATTCAAATCAGATAGACGAACAGATTCTTGAATTCTTACCTCTTCGGATATAAAACCGTAAAAGGGCTGAAAGGAAATTCCGTGGTCTCTCCTCCTTAGTGCGGTTATTTAGTTCACATATTTTGTATTTCTGTTGTAGTTATAGCTTTAGCACGTGGCATCTTGTTCACACTTGATATCGCAAAGGTGGGGAGCCGCCTATGACCATCCTTCGAAGACGGAGCCAATTGAAACCTCAATCTACTTCATTCTATTTTCTCTTTTAAAGCAACTGATCAAAACAAGAAGCCATCAGCCGTAACAAATTGTTTTCCTTGTTTTCGGTCTTCACAAAACCTTTCTATGCAATTTTACTCTGAATTTTCATCGACCTCGATCGAGTGAGTCGTCCAGAAAATACTGATGATGACTGGTGTCAGACACGCATTATGCAAATAATTTGAACGGAACTTGAGAGCAGAATGACAACCCCAATAGAAAAATGCATTAGAAATTCACACACCTACAAGAAGAAAATTCATATTTACACACCTCTTAGTTTGAATGTATTTCTTGAAACGTGCTTGGATTCTGTTTATATTGATTTATCATACAAGCTGTACATCATAACCTCCTTTCTGAAAGTGGTGCGCAAATTACAAGCTCGTTTCTAATCTGGTACATTTCTTTGTTTTTTTTCATCATAGTTGATTCTCTCATACTCACTAAAGTTGTTATTGATATTAGTTGCCGATTTAGTTCAAGTAGAACCGCACAATAAACCTTGGTACGTAAAACGTAACTAGAAAGGCCAAATTATGATTAACCAAAACAAATGAAAGGGAAATAAAGCGCTACGTTCATCGTTTCATAAGCTTATTATCACAATAGTAAGCGTTGCGCAGCGGTCATGACCACCTCTCAAGCGCTATTTTGGCATCCATGTCTCATTTTGCTGGTTATAACAGCTGTGTTATAATATAATATAATAGCTGTGTTAAGTTAGAAGCAAATATCCTGAGAATAATTGGCATTGTGGGTAACGTAAAACCTATAAAGAAATTAACAAAAACAGCAAAAATCTCCAAGAATAGACGAAAACTTCGCCCCTGCTTTCATAAGAGTGAGTGGTAACTACCAAATAATTTCTTTCCCCAAAAAATATCTCGCGAAGATTTCTGATTGTTACCTGACTTTGTTCAACGTGTAAATATTAGGATTCCAAAATGATTATGCGACGTGTCGTGGTTTTACGCCTCTAAAATAAATTACAATACCCTGCCAATTATTCTGTAAGATTTATTAAAGTTGTTCTTCACCCCTCTTAAAATGTTTTTGGATTACTTAGCTTTGATTAGAAATAAAAACTTAATAAAAAGTTCAAACAACAGATCTCACTTTAAGGTATGCAGTTATAATAATACTAGCAACAAAGTAGAGAACTCTAATGCCCGCTAGACATAATAAGTCGAGCCTAAGTGGCCCTTGGAGTTTATCCTGGTTACTGCAATTGCTGCATATACACCCTTGTATATCACACGCAGACGCCCTTTTCCTGGACGGCATGTTAATCCATCGCCAGTTATCGCCTAGCATTTCGCCTTACAGTTGCTGTTACCAAATAATATCCCCCATTAGAGCCAATGCGAGGTTTAAGTACCTGGTCTAGAGACACAAATAGACTTGGTATTGTGTGTCCAGCTTTAGGAGAGATAAAACACCTCTACTTCATCAGGAGTAAATCTTAGACTCCCAGCTAACACTGTATCCTTCTCCTTTACCTCACTTGGAGCCAAGAAGGAGTGACCAAACCTGGTGTATGAATGAACATTATGACCTGCGTTGTTAGCAATATGAATATCGAAGCCTCCACCAAACGTTGGACCGTGACTCATCTCCATATAAATGGCTTGGGAATCATGCTTCACCATACTCTTAAACGGCGCCATTCCTTCTTTGTTGTCGAGTGAATAAATAAAAGCCTTATCTGTCCTGCGATATCCTTGACTAGGATTTTCATCTACAGTCAAGACAATAAGCAAAAATTGCAACGTTTTTGGAGGTTATTCTTTCGTAGCTTACTTATCTTCTCAATTAAAGCTG